AGGATTTGCTTCCAGGTGTAAAATACCTTTCATCCAAGGAATACACAATTGTATGCATTGTTTTTGCCACTCTCCACATATTTTATCCTCATGAAACCCCTGCAAAGTAAATTACGTTGAGAGACAGTAACTGATAAAGTTTTATAGCTGAGTTAAGGATCTGAACATCAGAAAGAACAAAGTCCTCCAGCTGAAAAACAAGAGGAAATGCAACAAAGAATAACCAGGTTCCTAGAACAGCAGAAAAATAACAGAGTAAGGTTGCCTGCGTTAAAGATTGTAACACAGAAACAACTAGCACAAGCGTTAAAAGATGCCAATATTGCAATATCAAAGATAGGCTCATTGCAAGCATCAAAGCAACTGATATACAAGCACAGCTGCTGTTATAACTGAAGATCTTGTATGCAAAATTAACAAGCAAGAAAAAGGCCAAACAATGTACCACCAAAATAGAAGATCAAACTGGCAAATGAGATCAGCATGTTAAGATCAGATGTAAGCAAGCTAAAACAGATAAAAGACCAAAAATATTTGATCAAGAAGCATTACTTAAAGATAAAGGAGATCAAGGAAGCACTGGAAATAACAAAGTAGACAAATAACAGCTATAGCCAAAAAAAAAAGTCAACAGATATGAAGCTCGAATTATGCATTATAGGCAGAACCTCCAATTTTAGTAGAATCAGGAACGTTTTAACCAATCCATCAAAAAGAGAGAGTGCAATGAATCTGACAAAAAAAAGAAACAATACAATTCTTGGCACAACTATGGAACAACCGAAAGAAATATGACAGGAAAGCAGTTTGGATAAGGGAGGTGTAAAATTGGGGGGGGGGGGAGCTGAAATGAAAGAACTTGTAATAAAAGCAGAAATAGTAGTGAAGAAAAGGACAAGGAAGATTGGTGTGGCCAACAGCAGGAGCCGTTGGAGCTGCCACCAGACTCCGACAGCGAGGAGCCCTATGAGTCGGCCCTGGAGGATATGGAGGACCCTGGACAGGGTTGTGACTCCGAGCAGGGCGCAGAGAG